ACCACACTGGCTGAGTAAATTCCTAGTGTTCTCCCTCCTTACCTGGGAGCCAGAGCAGCAGAAGCTCCTGGAGCTGAGCAGGGGCCCTCGTGTCCATGCTATGTCCTGACTGGGACTGACTCCTGCACAGGGTGTACCCAGCCTATGAATAGGCCTTCAGAGCAGTGAGCTGTGCTCTAGGAACAGTTATCCCAGGGGCTGGGTCAAGGCTGGCTCATCTCAACAACTCAGCACAGGTGCAGTGACCCCAGGTGTCCCAAGTCAGACCAGGGCAGCAGAGATTTTCATGATAATTAAATCCAAGATTTTCACTCTTAGAGAAAGGAGTTACAAGAAATAAAAGAAGTCTATTTAAATAAATCCTGTGATTTTGGAATAGAATTAGAGATATCAGTGTAAATACGTGTTTTTTTTTGTAGATATAGTCATAAATATGTGTCTATGTGTGTGAATAGATATATATATAATGGATAACTTTCCCTAGTCTAGAAGAAATGACACCACAGTCCAAAATAGTGTGCATAGTGCCCAGATCTTGGTTTCTAAATACCATTCTCCACTCAAAGGAACTAGTAATCTTTGGGGAAATGTCTATTCCTGGGTCTAGAACAGAGAAAATACAAGATAAGCCTGGACCATCTTAAAACTAAGGAAATGCTGGAAGAATGATGGGGTCATGGCAAAAGGAAATAGAAGCCAATTGGAATGGGACACCCATTGGTAAAATCTGGGGAATTTAGAGTACCAAAATAATTAGTGATGCTAACGTGTTATAGCCATTGAAGAAAATGTGAATAAATGAGTTCATACTGGTGTTTTACTAAGAAATGAAATATTCATAAATAACCAAAGTCATCAGTGATGGGAGAATTTGAGATCCTGTACCACCTGCAGGATATAGTGGGAAGAACAGAGCACACTTCTGGGATTTCCTGCCTGTTCCCGGCTGAATCATGTCCTCCCAAACGTCATGTGTTGAAGGTGTAACCCCAGTACCTTAGAATGTGACTGCATTCGGAGATAGGGTGTTTAAAGAGGTAATGATGCTAAATTAAGGTGATTTGTTTAAAGCCTAATCCAGTATGACTGATGTCCTTATTAGAAGAGGATATGAGTACACAGACACACAGGGAAGAAAGACCCTGTGAAGACAGAGGAAGACAGACATCTGCAGTACAAGGAGAGAGACCTCAGCAGAGACCAACCCTGCTGATACCTGATGTCAAGCTTGCAGCCTCCAGAATTGTGAGAAAATACATTTCTGATGTTTAAACCACCTACTTTGTGACACTTTGTTATGGCAACCCTAGCAAACATTGACTGAATTTAAGCCTAATGGTGTGGGGGGAATCCAAAATGAGGAACATTCTACAAAATAACTGTTGTGTAATCTTCAAAAGTGACAAGATTATGAAATTCAAGAAAGAATGAGTAACTATTCCAGACTGAAGGAGACTAGAGACATGTGTCAATTAAGACAACATGCAAATCTGACCCAGATCATTTTGTTACAGCAGAAATTATCGGGACATCTGACAAATTTGAATTGGACCTTAGTACTACAGGGAGTTACATATTAACACTGATTTGCTGATTTCATGGTTGTATTGAGGTTATAGAGGAAAAAGTCATTTGTGGGAAATGAGTACTTTGTGCTGTTCTTCCATTTCTTTGAGTGTAGAGTTCCTTCAAAAAGTTTTAAAAATTAAAAAAAAAGCAGTTCTCAATAGCATGGAAAATACATTGCTAGCATTTTAGAATGGTCATGAACCATCCTTATTGCTATTATAGAACCCAGTACCTTACATCAGACACGCAAATATACCATGTGTCCTCAAAGGTGGTGTCACTCACACATACATCACTGTCCAAAGACCAAAAGTAATAGGTCTAATACCCAGCGAAGTAGCAGGCTGCCCCTCATTCTTGGTTTGGGATCTCCATATTCTTCCCCCTCACTGACATTTGGCTTTATATTCTACAGC